CAGGATTAGGCTATTGAGTTGGATGATCAGCCATGATTGTGATGAATGGCGGAGCAGGCTTGAAGGGCTGAATGGCATCCGCCTGCTCCTATCTTCTATGTTTCTGTTTAAATGTTGCAATTGTACCAGCCTCCACCACTCCGTCTGGCAGCTCATTCCATACACACACCACCCTCTGCATGAAAATATTTGCCTCTTAGGTCCCTTTTAAATCTTGCCTTTTTCACCTTAAACCTCTACCCTCTAGTTTTGGATTCTCCCTTCCCAGGGAAAAAACTTTGTCTATTTACCCTATCCATGCCCCTCATGATTTTACAAACCTCTATAATGTCATTCCTCAGCCTTTGATGCTGCAGAGAAAATTGCCTCAGCCTAATCAGCCTCTCTGTCTAGCTCAGCCCCTCCAACCCTGGCAACGTTCTTGTAAATCTTTTCTGATCCCTTTCAAGTTTCACAACATCCTTCCTCTAGCAGGGAGACCAAAATTGCACACAGTATTCCATTAGTGGCCTAGCCAATGTCCTGTACAGCCGCAACATGACCTCCCAACTCCTATAATCAATGCACTGACCAATAAAGGCAAGCATACCAAGCACTGCCTTCACTATCCAATCTACCTGCGACTCCACTTGCAAGGAACTATGAATCTGCACTCCAAGGTCTCTTTGTTTGGCAACACTTCCCAGGACCTTACCATTAAGTGTATAAGTCCTGCCCTGATTTGCCTTTCCGAAATGCAGCACCTTGCATTTATCTAAATTAAACTCCACCTGTTACTCCTCGGTCCATTGACCCATCTGATCAAGGTCCCGTTGTACTCTGAAGTAACCTTCTTCGCTGTCCACTACAAACCCAAGTTTGGTGACATCTGCAAACTTACTAACCATACCTCCTACATTCACATACAAAGCACGCATTTAAATGATGAAAAGCAGTGGAGCCAGCACCGATCCTTGTGGCACGACGCTGGTCATAGGCCCTCAATCACGACCCTCTGTCTTCTACCTTCGAGCCAGTTCTGTATCCAAATGACTAGTTCTCCCTGTATTTCCTATAATCTAACCTTGCTAAGCAGTTTACCATGAGGAATCTTGTCGACCACCTTGCTGAAATCCATATAGATCATGTCCGTCGCTCTGCCCTCATCGTTCCTCTTTGTTACTTTTTCAAAAAACTCAAGTTAGCGAGTCACGCTTTCCCATGTACAAAGCCATGTTGACTATCCTTAATCAGTCCTTGCCTTTCCAAATACATGTAAATCCTGTCCCTTAGGACTCCCTCCAATTTGCCTACCACCAATGTCAGGCTCACCAGTCTACAGTTCCCTGGCTTTTCCTTACCACCTTTCTTAAATAGTGGCACCTCATTAGTTAACCTCCAGTCTTCCGGCATCTTACCTGTGGCTGTCAATGATACAAATATCTCAGCAAGGTGTCCAACAATAACTCCTCTGGCTTCCCACAGAGTTCTAGGGTACACCTGATCAGGTCCTAGGAATTTATCCACCTTTGTGTTTCAAGACGTCTAGCATCACCACTTCTGTAATATGGACATTTTTCATGAGGTCGCTATTTATTTCCCCATATTTTTTATCTTCCATATCATTCTCCACAGTAAACACTGATGCAAAATACTCAACAACTATCTTCTCCCATCCGTAGTACCACAGACCTAGGTGGCCTTGCTGATTTTTAAGGGGCCCTATTCTCTCCCCAGTTCCCCTTTTGACCTTTTTATGTATTTGTAGAATCCCTTTGGATTATCTTTAACCCTATTTGCCAAAGCTATCTCCTATCCCCTTTTTGTCCTCCTGATTTCCATCTTAAGTATACTCCTACTGCCTTTATTCTCTTCCAGAGAATCACTCGATTTCTGCTGTCTGTAGCTGACACATGCTTCCTTCTTAAGCAAAAACTCAATTTCTGTCATTTCATCCAACACCCCCTATACCTGCCAGCCTTGCCCTTCACCCTAACAGGAACATACTGTCCCTGGACACTCGTTATCTCTTTTTTTTTTTTTTTTTTTTTTGAAGGTTTTCCATTTTCCAGGTGTCCCTTTACCTGCAAACTACCACCCCCCAATCAACTTCTGAAAGTACTTGCCCAGTACCACCAAAATTGGCCTTCCTCCAATTTAGACCTTTAACTTTTAGATCCGGTCTATCCTTTTGCATCACTGTTTTAAAACTTCATGTACAAGTACCACCTATTACTGAGAGTCCTTGTACCACCACAAAAATTAACTGAACAAATGAGGGCAAATCTCCAAAATTGTACTTACCAGGAATTAGCTGGGTATTTGTTATAGTCAGTTACTCAGGAATGTAGGGTTAGAGGAAATTGTTGAAGTGATTTTGGAATGTGACTGGCTGGGTGCTTAAGGCTGAGGGAGATTGCTGAGGTCATTGGGATGAGGCTAGAGGCATCCTCAGGAGATTCCGAGGTGGGAGCTCAGTGTCCTAAAGGGATATGGAATCTGTAGAATGTTGGACTGTCTTAAAGGCCACGAAAATGTTGAGAAAAATGTTGTGACCTGAGGGAACGAATGGTGCTAAAGGATTTGTTGCTCCTGCTGATTATCACCTACTTTACCCCTTGCCCACCCCTGGGCTGCTAAATCAGTCTTTCTCCATGGCATATACCTGCGGGCACAGAATGTACCCTGGGTGGGACGACTTCAAAGTCCACTGCCGTCAGTGGATCAGCAGTACCATTACTGACCGAGCTGGTTGGGTCCTTAAGGACATAACTGCTGGACTCGGTCTGCAGCAGGTGGTGAGGGAACCGAGAGGGGCAAGCATACTTGACCTTATCCTCCCCAGTTGTAGAAGCTTCTGTCCTTGGCAGTTATTCTTGCAGAAACTATCACACAGTCCTGTGGTAATGAAGTCCTGTCGTCTTACTGGGGGATACCCTCCATTATGTTGGTAGTGGCACATCACATGTTAAATGGGATAGATTTTGAACGGATTTCGGAACACCAAACTGGGCATCAGTGAGGTGCTGTGGGTAATCAGCGGCAGTAGACCTCCTTCAACTTCAACTTGTAACTTTGCGGCCTGGTACATTTGACCGGGTGCGGCATGAAGGAGCTCTAGCACAAGTGGAGTCAACGGAAATCAGGGGAAAGCTCTTTGCTGGTTTAAGTCATACCCAGTGCAAAGGAAGATAGTAGTGGTTGTTAGAGGTTAGTCGTCTGTCTCAGGACGTCTGTACAGGAGCTCCTCGGGGTGAATATTTTCCAGAAAACCTGTTAAAAAGATGTTATTGCACACCTCTGGAACAGGTGGGTTTACATGTACCTTTTGGCCCAGATGCAGGGACACTACTACTGTGCCTCAGTTCCTCAGGGGACTGTCCTAGGCTTGACCATCTTCAGTTGCTTCATGAATGACCTCAAGAAGTGTGGATGCTCGGTGATGAATGCACAATGTTTGGGACATTTGCGAGTCCTCAAGAGACTGAAGTCATGGTATCCATGTGTAGCAAGACCTGGACCGTGTCCAGGGTTTGACTGAAAAGTGGCATGTAACATTTATGCCACAAGTGCCAGACGATAGCCATCTCCACCAAGAGGGAATTTAACCAGCTCCCCTTGACGTTGAACAGCATTACCAAAGCTAAGTCTTCTGCTACCAAAATCCTGGGGAGTTACCATTGACCAGAAACTGAATTGGACTAGATTAGGACTGGACTGGGAATTCTGTGGCAAGTAACCACTTGCTGCCTCCTTAATGACCATTCAGCATTTACAAGGCTCGAGTCAGGAATGCAATGGAATACTGTCTGCTTACCTGGATGAGTGCAGCTCAAGCAACACTCCAGAGAGAAAGCAGCCCACTTGATGAGAAGACATGCAACACTTTCAATGTTAATTCTGGTCAGCACCAGGGCATAGCAGCGTGCACCAACTTCAGGGTGCATGGCAGTAACTCCTCAAGCCTGTTCCAGCAGCAGTACCGTCGTCTTTGTGACCTCTACCATCCAGAAGGACAAGGGCAGTTGTTGCACAGGAACACCACCCTTCCAAGTTCCCCTCCAAGCCATTTACCATCCTGACTTGGAAATGTATCGCTGTTCCTTCAGTGTCGCCGGGCTAAAATCCTGGAATTCCTTCCCTAACTGCACTGTGCACCTACAGAACATGGACTGCAATGGTTCAGAAGGCAGCTCACCACCAACTCAGTAGCGCCTTTAAGGAAAGACAATAAATGCCGGCCTTACCAGTGACATTCACATCCTGGGGATTAAATTTAAAAACAAACCGTGACCACCCTTGCAGTCAAATAGCATGTTTATGTTCCAAAATTAAGCTTCCATGGGAAAGTCAAGGGGAATGTGAATCGGAACATGAATGACCAACACCACAAACTGGAGAAGCAGGATTTTGCCTTCCAGAAATATTCCTGCACCTTCAGGACAGTTGGAACTTTTTTGTTGGGAATATGGGGTAGCCCAGGAAATTTGGTGTTGAGATGTATGATGATTTGGAATGGCTTCCCTGTTTCTAGACTGGCATAGTGTGGGGATGGCTGTGTATGGAACATGGATGGTCAGACGTTGGGATAGGGAAAGAATACAAACAGAATAACATACTCGAAGGACAATAAGTGCCAAACAAACCTTTGGAAAGATGAATACAATGTGAACACTTTTAAATATCTGTAAAATTACTGTTGTAAAATGTTAACACTTAGCTCTGTGTCAGAGTGTACTGCTTTGTGGGTATCTTTACTGTATCTCAAGCTACAGATGTTGTGAATTTATTTTAAAGCAAAATACTGCTTTCAATGTGCCATTGTTTTGCAAAAAGCTAATCTGAGGATAGTTAGCTGAATTCTAAGTGCAAGTTTGTGTGTTGCGGTGTTGAGTTGCTTTCTTGTCTAGAAATACTTGCCGTGAGTACTTGGCTTCTTTAACATGCTGAGGCATCTGTTTGCATTGCCCTAACTGAACCCCCCCAAATCTTTCTCTCCCTTCCTTTTTGTTTTCAATCAGGATCAGCTAGAGAAAGATCTCTATCTCTACCAGGCTGAGCTAAACACAGACTTAGAAAAAATGGAGAAGCTTTTTAGAAGCCATGACACCCAACTGTGCAAGGTATTCTCAACTTTCTCCCACGTCAATCACTCCATGCATGTGTTAACCCTTTCACTGCTGAGACTGAATCGGTCAGTCTGCAGGGAGCCTCATGTTGAAGGTCATTTAAGCTTGTAATCAATTGATAATCGGCGTACAGTTGACAAAGGCTGGGATTGTTCATCCGGAGTACTGTATCATAGTACCTCTTGTGCATGCTCTTTTTCTGAAATTAAATGCGTTGTTAGATTTTCTTTTGTCATTTCTTTTGCGAGTTCATGTTTCGACCTCTTGGGCACTGTGTCCTGAAAATGAAATTGCGCTTCCTAGCTGCACGAGCTCCCCACAGGAATTAGCTCTAAGCCTCCTGTTTGGCTGCATTTCAGAGTCAAGATTGGCCACCAGTCCCCTGATTCTGTTTCCAGACCTTGCCTGTATCACAGTTACAATTTAATGCAGCCATCTATGTGTGCATGCTTTTAGTTTTCCTCAGCTGTTTCCTGTTGTTGTGCTTGCTGTGGGCCAGTCACAATTACATCCACTCCGTCTCTGTCCATTAACTGGGAATACTGCTGTAACCCTGACAGCCCCACACCGGTACCAACTCGGAGCGAGAGGTTGTTGCGATGGAGCTGCGGATGGTAAAAATCTCTCCTGTCTCTTCTGCTTGGCGGGGTGCTTATCTAAGTTGCCTGTGATGAGGACTTTGAGATTAGTGAGCGTGCTGCTTCCTGAGCTGGGGATTTGTTCAGTGGAACAGGAGCAGCAGCTGTTGGAAGGGCTGTTTGTCTGCTGCTTACTGTGGCTCTGGCTGTCAAATTGAAATGCTTTTGAACAAAGAGCCAGATCTGAGGAGTTCTGTGAAAGGGCACGGGGGCATGTATGTGTGTAATGTTGCCAGTAAGCACAGATAGCGCTAAACTTAGAGTGCAATTTCTCCGAAATGAGTACCATAATTTTAAAATGAAACAAGCACACTCTTCATCAATGCTATGTCGAGAACTGGATAAGTTTGTCAAGAGCAGGGATAGTTTTTAAAAAGGTTCCCTCTCTAAGCCTTTACGCTGTGTAAGTAGCCCAAAGCCAGTTGGATATTTTCCCTCCATTTGGCTTGATGCACAATGACTCATTCACAAACAAAAGAACAGAGGCTATGCAAGAACGAGCACAACTGACTGCTGTTCAATCTGTCACACCCACCCACCCCCTCTCTCTCCCCAAATGCCCACCCGCCCCACATCACCCACCCCAAGGGCACAAGGAAGAATCACTGGATTTATTCAACCAAGCAAGTGTTTTGAGACCTGACTGTGAAGTGGGAGTTGAGACGATAGCGTCAGAATTGAAAGTGGTACGACATTCTGCGAAGTCCACCCGATATCAGGGCAGCTAGCTCCTACTTTTAGCCCTTTTCCCTCTCTCTCTTTTTTATTACGTGCATTGTTTGAGATTTATCAATGACCCTGTTTTACTTTTGTTTTTCAGAACGCAGCACTGAACTCTCCCTTGGAAATCCCATCTGAATTCTCAAATTAGTAAGTAACCGAGCTCAATGAGCTGAGCATTTATGTGCACATATTGTTGGTCATGAGTGCATTGCCGTGTTGCTTGGTCTCTCAATGTTGTATTTGTCTGTGCACTGAGACTCCTGAACTAAAGTGTAAGGAGACATATGTGTACGGTCAGGAAAAGCAGCAGCAAACCCCTGTTGTTCTCCTGCTAGAATTAGAGAAGGTGGATTTGTGATTCTATTTTGGTGAATTTGTGACTCTATTTATTGGTGTCATCTTTACTCTGATTAAAATTTTCAATAGTTGGGATTTTGAGAAGCGATGGATTGGATCCTGAGGGACTACTGTGAGTTCACCAGAAAGAAGGCAGCACATTTGCCACAGAAATTCCTACCTGTGTAAAATTTGCGCGGCCACACTGTGCCAGCCTCACTGGCTTTCCTCTGTGTGGTCACCGTTTGAGAAAGTGATTCACTTGAGGCTCCCCCCTTTGCCAGGATTAGAGAAAGCCCCTTCTTTAATGACTCCTTTCTCAGGAGAATGCATCTCTGTCAGACAGGAGACTGTAGCATTCTTCCTGTGGTACTAAGGAAGTGTTTATTTATGTTGGAATCATCAGGGGATAATGTTTAGACAGGGTGGGACGGTCTCTGCTCTCTTGCTTTTGAAGTGTTTCAGATCCACTGAGTTTTGAAAAGCTTTACTTTGGAGAAAGATAACCTTAAAGGATAACCATGCAGTGCATGGAACCCAAAGCTGAGTACTTGCATGGATCCATTTGTAAATCGGGTCAGTTGGTGCTAGGAGTGGAGAATACTTGAGTAAATAACCACTATGTGTGTGATACTAGCACCTTGAGCTGTTTTATGACATGAGTGGTTTTATGTAAATGCAAATTGATGTTGGTGAGGGGGCTCCAGACTTGCCCCAGTGTCTGACTGGAATTTGATCTGAATCAACAGAGCACTGAGTTGATGTAGTTTGCTGTAAAATTAAGGGATATTAAATAGAGAAGGAGGAATGAACTGGGGGAGGGGGGGGGGGGAGATGACAGCAAACTAGTAATGTCACTGGGTTAGAATGCCCAAGCTAATGCTGTGCGGATCTGGGTTCAAATCTCACCACAACAGCTAGCAAGATTAAATTCAATTGATAAAATTGTAGAAGAAAAAGCTATCAGTTTGTTGTAAAACCTCAACTGGTTCAATAATGAAGGAAATCTGGTCTGGCCTGTATGTGACTCCAGACCCACAGCAATTTGGCTGACTCTGAACTGTCCCTGAAATGTCAGAGCAAACACTTTTATATTCTTTCTCTTCAAATATTAATCCAATTCTGTTGCCTAGTTTTTGTTTCAGTCTTCACTTCTGATTCAAGCACTCCTTGTTTTAGGGTCCCTCAATGCAGAAAGAAACAGTTAATGCCCATATTCTTTTTAAAAAGATAAAAGCATAAATAATTTGCCAAGAAGAAAGTAAACTTATCTCAATAATTGCCCATGTCCTGTGATGTTTTTCCACTGAGGGCAACTTTGTGTCAGGGACCAGTGCTTGAAGTTTTGTTTCTTTCCCCTCCCTTTTATTCTGGATTGGCTAGTTTGATTTCAGCTGCAGATTGGAAGCACCCAGAGCTAACTATCTGTCTTCTTTTGAAAGCATTGTTTTGTTCTTGTAATGAAGTCTGGCTTGCTGTAAAGGAAGAGTGTGCAGGGTTACAGAGAGAAAGCAGGAGGATGGCATTGAGTGAATTGCTTGTTTGGCAAGCTGGGGCAGACACAATGGGCTGAGTGGCCTTCTTTTGTGGTGTAGTAATCCTGAGAGTTTGCAGTCTGATGCTTGGCATATGATGCATTTGCATATGAGCTGAATCTTTTCTCATGTTACACCCAACGAGTTCAGACAAAGTGAAGAATTCAGGGCAAGTGGAGTGACGGTCAGTTCGTGGAGTAAATGAATTAGACCATGAGCGGGGCAGGGTTGGGCGGCAAGGGAGAAGGGGCAGGAGAGGAGTGTGCTAAGAGAGAACAGGTAGAGGAGTAGTTCAGGAGAGAGGACAAACAGAACAAGCAGGCTGAGGGATGGTGAGAGAAAGTGGGGTGGGAGGGGTAGGTGCAATCAGTGGACAAGTGAAGACAGCGTGGAGAGAAAGGACAAGAATTGCATTTACATAGTACCTTTGCATGGCCTCAATGTCCCCTGAAGGACTTTACAGTCAATGAAGGGTTGTGAAAGACACTCCCTATATAGGAAATGAAGAAGGGGAGTTAGAGAAGCCAAGAAGGGGGAGCAAGGGACTTCATGTTTAGGTTGTACAGGACGTTAGTGAGGTCACTTTTAGAATACTGTGTACAGTTCTGGTTGCCTTGCCTTAGGAAGGATATTATTAAATTTGAGAAGGCTCAGAAAAGATCTACCAGGATATTGTTGGGATTGGAGGGTATGAGTTATGGGGACAGGCTAGATAGGCTGGGACTTTTTTCACTGGTACGTAGGAGGTTGAGGAGTGATCTTTCAAGGTTTATAAAATCATGAGGGGCATCGACAAGGTGAATAGCAAAGGTCTTTTTCCCCTAGGGTAGGAGAATTCAAAACTAGAGGGCACATTTTTAAGGTGAGAGGAGAAAGATGATTTAAAAGGGAGGGGCAAATTTTTCACGTACGTAGAACCAATTGCCAGAGGAAGTGGTAACTGCAGGTACAGTTACGACATTTTAAAAGACATTTGGTTAGGTACATGAACAGGAAAGATTTAGAGGGATATTGGCCGAATGCAGACATAATAGGACTAGTTTAATTCGGGAACTTGGTCAACATGGATGAGTTGGACCAAAGGGTCTGTTTCCTTCCTGTATGACTCTAGGGCTGAATATGGAGCACAATGAGGATATTGGCTCCACTAAGCAGAGCGATGGTCAGTGACGGAGGCTGGGAGATGAGGTACATGGTTGGTGAGGCTTGTAGTCAGTACAGCTGGAGAAGAAACATGGGGGAATTCTCAGTTTTCACATCTCTCTGCCATTATACACTTCCTTACCCCAGCCACTTTCCTGTCTCTCTTATCTCCTTTTACTCCTTCTTGGTGTGTCAATTTCACCCCCCCCACCACCTTCCCTTCACCCAAATCTAATATCCCTTGACCTTCTGCCCTTGATTTTGACAACTTGTGTACCACACCCAGGGGCTAAACATCCTCAATCACAGCCCGATTAACAGAGCCAAGAGACCCATTAGTTACATTACTTGAAAAAGGAAATTCTTGCGCTGAGATTAGATGAAAGCTTGGGCGTGTGATTAGAATTCCTCACAATTACAACATGGCCCAGAATAGCTGTTGACTGTACTGAGTGAACTGCTGACAGTTACCTTTCCTTGAAAGATAAAATGTGGTCATTCAAGGTTTTAATACCTGGGGTAATTCACTGTTTTTGCAATTTAACCAATGTCCGTGGTTTCCTTGCATTCAAGGCTGGTTGAGAGTTCCATGTTGCTGTTGTAAATGCACTGAGATTCTTGGAATCTTTTTTAAACATTGATTTTATGCGTCTCAGCTAGTGGTAGTTGATGTTTCTATGTGACAGAGTACTGTCCCCTGTTTCTATGGGATCTTTCCAGTTCTGGTCATTTAGAAATCCATTTGTGGGCATGCAGGGTGGGAGGGTGAATTGTGAGGAAGATGCAGAGATGCTTTCGTGTTATTTGGACAAGTTGATTGAACGGGTGAATGCATGTTTATATGCATTTGTGAAATCATGATGGGCATGGATAGGGTGATTACCAAGGTCTTTTTCCCAGGGAGGAGGAGTCCAAAACTAGAGGGCATAGGTTTAATGTAAGAAGGGAAAGATATAAAAGGGACCAAAAAGGCCCAACGTTTTCACGCAGAGGGTAGTGCATGTATTGAATGAGGAAGTGGTGGAGAGAGGGACATTTACACCATTTAAAAGGTATTTGGATGGGTACATGAATAGGAAGGATTTAGAGGGATATGGGCCAAATGCCGGCAAATGGGACTATATGAATTTAGGTTTTCTGGTCAGCATGGACGAGTTGGACCGAAGGGCCTGTTTCTGTGCTCTACAACTCTATGACTCTGCCAGGCGAGGTATAATAATAAAAAAGTGTGAGGTGATTCACTTTGGAAGGAGTAACAGGAATACAGAGTACTGGGCTAATGGTAAGATTCTTCGTAGTGTGGATGATCAGAGAGATCTGTGTCCATGTGCATAGATCACTGAAAGTTGCCACCCAGGTTGATAACGTTGTTAAGAAGGCGTACGGTATGTTAGGTTTTATTGGTAGAGGGATTGAGTTTCGGAGCCATGAGATCATGTTGCAGCTGTACAAAACTCTGGTGCGGCCACACTTGGAGTATTGCGTACAGTTCTGGTCACCGCATCACAGGAAGGATGTGGAAGCATTGGAAAGGGTGCAGAGGAGATTTACCAGGATGTTGCCTGGTATGGAGGGAAGGTCTTATGAGGAAAGGCTGAGGGACTTGAGGCTGTTTTCGTTAGAGAGAAGAAGGTTAAGAGGTGACTTGATAGAGACATACAAGATGATCAGAGGATTAGATAGGGTGGACATTGGGAGCCTTTTTCCTCGGATGGTGATGGCTAGCACGAGGGGACATAGCTTTAAATTGAGGGGTGATAGATATAGGGCAGATGTCAGAGGTAGGTTCTTTACTCAGAGTAGTAAGGGCGTGGAATGCCCTGCCTGCAAAAATAGTAGACTCGCCAACTTTAAGGGCATTTAAATGGTCATTGGATAAACATATGGATGATAATGGAATAGTTTAGGTTAGATGGGCTTCAGATTGGTTTCACAGGTCGGCGCAACATCGAGGGCTGAAGGGCCTGTACTGCGCTGTTATGTTCTATGTTCTAATATGGACGCATGTGAGGCTATCCACTTTGGTAACAAAAACAGGAAGACTGATTGAAAAGGCTGAGGTGCCATGAGACTTGGGTGTCCTTATACACCATCTGTTGAGAATGAGCATGCAGGTGCAGCAGGCGGTGAGGA